ACCAACAACAACAAGGGCGAAGCAGGCAAAGTGTCACACTTGAAAATTTAAGGACCCTCATGTCCTCTTATTTTTTATTTATTTATTTTTTCAATGTGGATTTGCAGCCTGGGAAACTGTCGAGGTAAACGCCAATTTAGATGTCACTGTCGGGTGACGCGACGCCATCTTTGTGTGCGGTAAAGATGTCTGAACATGAAACGTTAGCTGTTAGACATGAAGGCACACAGGATTTTCGGGAGTTTCCGAGCATGTAGGCACGCAGTCTTTGTATTGCTGTAATCTATCTATCGAGAGAGACTACTTTCTATATATATAGAGAGAGAGAGAGAGAGAGAGAGAGAGAGAGAGAGAGAGAGAGAGAGAGAGACTACTGTATATACATCTAGTGGATATAGCATCCTTTGATGTGGTCTCATCCAGCTGCACAGCTTCAACAACGGTTAGCGTTAATGCTAACTAATGCTGCTTGAGTGACATTTCAATCCAGAGGAATTTGAGCGTGCGGGAAAGCAAGATTCATCTTATGTTGCCCTGACTCAAAGCCGAAATGTGTTTTTAAATTTGTTTTCAGATGAGCCTTTGCCTTGGAAGACACCTTTTAAGTTTTAAAGCCTTGACAAACAAATAACTCGCCCAGCCTGCATGGCTAAATATACAGTCGGTTATCCACTCTATGTGATGCATGCATCTCACCTGGATGCATGACTTTCAACGGTCAGTCAGAATCATGTTGAATGTGACCTCTAAGTTTTAGAGAAAAAACATTTCCTCACCTCCTTTTTTTTCACCACACAGGATGGGTGTTCAGCCTGCCTTAAAGGCTAGCTCGGTATTTTTGTTATATTTTGTCTGTGTCACAGAAAGCATAAGTATATCACGAATCTCACGAGGTATGCAACATTTCAGTGAATAACTTATCGACAGAAAAAGATTGAATCAAAATCTTGACAGATATCCTTTTTCCACACAGTGTGCAGTCGCACGTACCACACTGGGTAGATATCCCGGTAAATTGCCAGGAGGAAACAGTTTGTAAAAGGAAGAAAATGTTTATTTGGGATTATATCACACATCATTTCACACTACAGACAAGAAGGATATACAGTACCACAACTGCACTTCTAAAATCGGCAACACACTTGACTAAACTAATAAAGCCTAAACCATCAGTTGTTCGAACCTATTGTAATATCCCAACAAAATGGTCACTAAGTAACACTGCTCCTTCAAATCGCTTCATCAAACAAAGAGTAAGAAAACAAACATAAAATCAGTGCATTCACACACGAGCCCCCCATGGCTACAACATGCATGGGTTTGCCAGTTAGCAGCCAGCCAACTCTACACTCTCATTCTACACACACACACACACACACACACACACACACACACACACACACACACACACACACACGCACGCAGGCA